GAAAGGATGCCATCCCAAATTATTTTTTAATATTCTGTGCACTTTGGTGTGGTCTGTATTTAAATCACGCGCAATACATCTGGTGCTAGTATGCGGATTTGCTAAAACTGCATCTCTTACGTGATCAATTATTATCTCATCGCGTTTGCATTTGTTTCGTGGACGTTTTGGCGCATGAAGAGTGCCATATTGGCAAATTCGACGATACAATTGTCCGAACAGTGCATGTGACGGTCGCTGCTTATCGGGGAAACGATTAGCGTACAGAACTGTGGCCATCCTTTCATTTTTATGACATTCGCCATAAATGAGCAGCATATTCGCTAACTCTTCCTTAATATAACGAGGCATCGTTGATTCACGTTTTCACTACCAACAGCTGGGCGTACCGATTGTCTTTTATCAGAGTCTTTCTCCTTTCGTATACATCTATAACGCGAATCTGACAAAAGACAATTGGCCCCAAGTTGTTGGGAGCGAAAACGTAAGTTAACGATGCTTCGTTATACCAATACAGAGTTAAGAAATATGTTACTCTTTTATGGAAAATGCTATAAAAATAACAGTATGTCTGTAGTTTTATACATTAATGACTTTCCTAATAAGCAGCAGCCGTCACATGCGTTGTTCGATATATTGTATTGTTGAATTTGCCAACATGGTACTCTTCATGCACCAAAACGTTCACGAAACATATACGCCAACGCAATGGAGTAATAATGAATCTTGTGAGAGATGTGGTTTTAGCAAATCCGCATAGTAGCACCTGGTTGCGAATTGCGCGTGATCTTAATATAGAACACACCAAGGTGCACAAAATAATAAAGAATAGTCTAAAATTCTTTCAAAGAAAACACAACGTTAAAGTTATTTCCTCAAGAGTTATCTCGTCGAAAAAAATTTTGTGATTGGATCTCAGACCAAATAATTTCAATACTTTAATAATTAGCCATTTGCATTTAAAAGCCTGCAAATGGTGACTTTCTGAAAAGAATCTTAAGGACACAAAAATGTACTTTTTGGAGTGACAGTATTATTAATCGCCATAATGAATACCATTATTCGGAAGAGAATTGTCGGAAAGAAATACACATCAAGAGATAATGTAATGTTAACGTTTGAATGGGAATTTTGGACAGTGTAATTACTGGATCACATCTTTTTTAAAAGATATCGATATCACAGCACAAGTTTATTTAAAGATCTTGAAAGAAACATTGATGGACAATCTTCCATGAAATATACTATCAAATATTGTATACCAGCAAGACGGATCCAGCCCATATTTTTGTTCTCGCTTGTGCATTTGAATAATCGATTTTCGCTCAGATAAATAGGCATTCACAACGATTTCCTTGAGTGGACATTGCGATCACCTAGGGCTACATACGAGATTCAGGTGTATCAGACACTGCCACGCAGTCGAGAAGATTTAATAAAAAGAATAAAAGAAGCAAGTCGTAACATTATACCTGCAATATTACATAAAGTACGACAAAGCTTCTTGCGGAGAGTTACAGTATGTTTAGAAGAGTCGGGTGGATATTTTGAACATTCTTGTAAAATATTATTAAAAACATTATAAAATATTAATATCAATAAATAGTTTTCACACATATATATGAAAAAAATTTTCAACTGGAATATTTCCTTATACTCTTTATATTATATTTTTATCTCGCATATTCGGAATAAACGATATCATCTTCTGTCTACCTATATCAATCATCGTTAGTGACCAACACTTTTAAAACTCTACAAACTTTAAAGATCAGGGCCTGAGTACTGATTTTGCTAACGATTCTTTTTACCTGTTGCATTGTACTTATGTTAAAAACGTCGTTTGTAGCATTCGTCGGCTGTCATCGGTTAAATTACGATTATTCTATGCTGCACTTCAGATTGCTCGATTTTTCCTAAAACTGACCATTCTGGAATACAGAACGGAATTGCAGTTTTAGCTAAGAGAAAGGAGTTTTTTCCTCAGATATCGCAGATATTTATTTCTATTACAAGAACATCTCTCTCAATCCCAAACTTCTTTGATTAATCATCATTTAACTGTCCTTTTTATCTTTCGTCACTCATAAATTACACATTCAATTCATAAACATTACTCACTTCGCTCGCAACATACCTATTATTCTTACAGAATCAATATGCTTTCTCTTTCTTCCGAAAATTCGATATCTGGAGACACTGGTAGTGTCTCGGCGCTAAGCTGCGCGAAGCGATACTGCCGTGCCTCCTTTACGCGAACCGACGAGTTGCGGCAAATCGAGATTATCGGATCTCAATAACGGCTGAACCGATCGCGTGCTATGTATGCTCAATCGATAGCCACCACACGGATTGTGTGATATAAGTGCTTTTATTTTTTTTCTACGTGCCCTACGAGCGGAGATATCGCGACGCAAAGTTCCGAACTGCTACATTTTCTGTCCATTTTCAGATACGTCGTCCTTATTGTCATCGTTATTATTGTCCTCGACCACATTCCGCGCATTCCTTTGATGTCCGTCTAACATTCTTTACGTAAGGAGCGCTAGTTTCGTGTCCTTCTGACATTCTTTACACAATTAGTACGCAATACGCAAGGAGCGCTAGTAGTAATATACATATGATCAGCGAGCGCTGCGATCTGGAGACACGACTAATTATTAGGGTACGTTTCCATGAGCGCGTCGCGTCGTCCACCGTATCACGACGTGACGCGAAAGAGAGAAAGGGAGGGGTTGTGTACATATATGAACTTCACTCTTTCTCTCTTTCGCGTTGCGTCATGACGCAATGGACGACGCGATGCGTGACACGCTCAGTGGAAACGTACCATTAGTGTATACACTTTTGGTTAGATTAGGTCAGTCATATCGATGGTAGTAAAGGAACACGTAAGTGATTTTCTACTTCTGCAATACACATTTTACTTACTGACTTACTCAACACATTTTTGTACGGAATTAATGAACGAATCTGACAAAAAAAATTACCCCGTGGACCAAGATATTAATCGTTAAAGTTGATGACTATTCAGGTTAGGAAATCTGTCATATCGATGGTGGCATAGATTACAGCAGAGTATTTGCTTGGTTAATATTTGTCTGTAAAGCAGAAAATTTGTTTAATCATTTATGCCATCGATGCAACAAATTTCCTCTGAATATCTGACAACTTTAATTAATAACAATTAATAACTCGGTTTGCGGGACAAATTTTTCATGTAGTGCAAAAATGCGTCGAATGAGTTTATTTTATCAATCTCAAGGAGGTAAGGAGGCTAATTCAACAATTACCGGATGTTGATGTCTTGCATAAATCTAATTGTTTGTTCGACCTTGTACGTATATTATTATGTAACATGTAATTTAAAGATACGTTTCATGATGCATTTTTTGTCGAGGTTTCCTTGTAAAGTAAACCGCTTATTAATGAATCCATCCAGAAAGCGTCAAGAAGATTTTTCTCAAATGGAATTTACTAAAAGATGTTTGGAACAAAATTTGGAACAAAATTTGGAACTTTGTCAAATTTCACGTATGGTTTACATATCTGTTTATCTGCAACGAACAATTTCCCAAGTCTGCCAGGAGCTATTGCATATTATATGTATAACAATAAACACAAGTAATATTATATTTCATTCCTCCCGCAAATTATCTATCATCTAATTATTATTATTTTACGAAATTCATTTTCAGGTATTATTGAAAATAGGTGGGACTAGTTGACTTTACTTCAACTGACTATTAAAAACTTTATCGAAAGCTGTACCAATTTGGAACATTTTGATTAGGAACAAAATTTGGTCCAATTCACGTATGGTTTACACCTCTGTGTTTAACTATATATTTAATATAGTCGGTAAGTCGAGTTGCTTATATGCCTATTCAGAAGCACGCATTACTGGTGGCAATGCAGAATATGATTAGATCGCAAGTCCGGTAGGG